CCTCCAGGAGCTGTGGCTACCAGGAGCCCCCTTCCTGTATCTCACTGCCGCATCAGCCCACCCAAAGTCCCAGCAAAGGACACGAGTCCTTTCTCCCTTGCTCAGGCCCCTCTACGCTGCACACTAGGCTCCTGGCGAGGTCCACGGGTCTGCTGCCGCAATGCCACTTTGCCAGAGGCATCCCCCACTCAGCAGCTGCTCCGCTCCGGGCTGGAGCCCCAGAGATCTCAGTCCGGGGCCTGGGCATGCCTTCGGACCAGCGGGAGAGGCCTTTGTTCTGCCACTAACACAGCTATGACACACAGGCCCCTCTACGCTGCACACTAGGCTCCTGGCGAGGTCCACGGGTCTGCTGCCGCAATGCCACTTTGCCAGAGGCATCCCCCACTCAGCAGCTGCTCCGCTCCGGGCTGGAGCCCCAGAGATCTCAGTCCGGGGCCTGGGCATGCCTTCGGACCAGCGGGAGAGGCCTTTGTTCTGCCACTAACACAGCTATGACACAAACGTGCAGAGCCCCGCCAGCCAGCCACAGCTGCTGTCTGCCAGACTAGGCCTTCTCCCCGTCCTGCTTGGAGGAAGAGGCCGGAGCCTCACACTCCAGCTCAGAGTCAAGAGGAGGGATGGCATTGCTTAGGCCTAGTTAGTGCTTCCAAGACAGAGGCCACTTCCTCCTGAGACCTGCCCAGGCCGGGCCATGGGACTCACACCAGGACTGCTGAACGGGTAGCGTGCCCAGGAGCCCACCGGAGGCCAGGAACCCCTGGGAAAGGCTTTGGGGCCAGCGTGTTAGTCTCTGGGTGACCAGGCAGGATAACGGTGCATATAGGACAGATGCTCTGACTACCTGGACGCTCCCTAGAAAATCGGGACAGCTGGTCACCCTACGGCAAACGTTACCCACCCACCCACCCACCCCTCACTCAGCCAGGGCTGGCCAGGCCCCTTCCCCCAGCAGGGCCGACCCAGATGTTAGCAGCAGCAGGAAGCGATCCCAGGGAGAGGGAGTTTGCTGAGGCGGGCACATCACAAGAGGTGGGGTGTGGGCACCACGGCTTTGTGCTGGCTAGGGGGTGTATGCTCCTTGGCTTCTAAGTATGCATCAGGGCACTGGGCAGGCTTCGATGAATTAAGCCCTGAAGCCTTCCAGGCTTCACGGAGAGCCTGCCCTTCCCAGCTCACAATTGCACTAGACAGACGCTCACGGTCCTAGAGCAGGAACTGAGGAGATGGAGACTTGCCCAAGGCACCGGGGGACAGAACGCAGGTTCCTGGCTGGACCGTTTTAGCCAGTTCCTCCTCAATCCAAAATACTTGAGGCCAGTTCAAGGCCTCGCTCAAGCTACTCGCCTAGACAACTTACTTCCCTCGTAAGTCGAGAGAGCTACAAGACTCGAGTCCGAACAGTGAGTGCTCCGGCTCAGCGACCCAGTGATGATCTGCTGGTTAAAAGAATGTGCCAGGGGCACAAAAGAAATTGAGAACAGGCCCCCTGGCTGTGCCTGCCTCTGCGATGGCTGGAACAGCCCCCACAGAGCACAGCCCCGGACCCCGAGTCAAGGGGTGAACAGTCAAAGAGATGGCTTCAGGTCCTGCCAAGGGGCAGGCTCCCTCCTCCTGGCGTCATCTCTCCATGCTCACAGGCAGCTCCTGGCTGTCTCGCCCCCCCCGGGGGGGGGGGGGGGGGGGGGGGGGGAAGGACAGGACTGGACTCACACCCGGAATGACAAGGGGGGTTCTTTAAGTGTCTATTACAGTGCAATGTGGCAACCCGCCTACCATCACCACCCGGAGCACGGCAGGCCCGCCTCAAAAGCTGCTCCCCAGCACGCTCAAGAGG